AATTCATTTTGTCGCAACTTAAAAAATTCTATTAAGAAAACAAAATACAGCATGAGAAGCTTGGTTTAATAGTGTGCTATTGGTTTTCCCAATAGAATTGATTAAGAGGTAGAAAAATGAGACGCAAAAATGGCCTTTTTAAATATATAACGCGTCAACCACTATCTAGCTTTTATATTTCTCTTAACAAAATATACAGACATGAAATTTTATAAACGCATTTACCTAACCTCCCCCGCCCCCCAGATTAGAAGGCCATGGCCTAATGTCGTGTCTCGACAAATTGCTCTGTTTTGCATGGCCTTTTAAAGGGGGTGGTCTTCTAATAGGACCAAACCTCAGAAGATGCTATTGATCGACAAATTTATTTTCTCATTTTCACAAACATACTATAAATTACAAGCAATTCAATTTTTTTTCCACATATCGAGTAAAGTTTTCTGTTTCCCATTGTTGAGAAGTCTGCACGGCGAATTTTCTCCGATCGAGGTAGATGTGGACGAAGCCAGCGTGGTTGATGATGACCCGTCGATTGATGAATCACTGCCGCACTCCTCCATATCCCAATCGGATCCATTGTTGTTCGAAGACACAGCTAAAAAGAGAAGTTAGAAACTGATTGGCTTTTATCGTTTCTTACCATCGTTGTCATCTTCATCGTCATCGAGATTGAAATCGTCGAAAGTAAGTCCGATGTCGTTGTTTCCTCCATCACAATCAGAGACGATTTCAGCATCGGATTCATCCGAGCTTGAAACACCTTCTTCATCTGATCCGATCTGTGGTAATGTGTACAAGTGACAATCAGCGTTCATCGAAGAAAACAGTGCGCAGCACTCTCAAACGAATTATTGAAGACGAAGGAATCTAATCTCTCTACACTTGTGTATTTCACTTCTCTTGGCGAATTCTCCAATCAGTTTGGAGAAAAATCCTCCACTGATTTCGATGGGGCACATAGAGGCTGAGGGAAAAACATTTTCTCTTTTCCTCCGCTCCACAATATGTGGCGACCTCGTAGGACTAATACTTTCTAAATCCAGTAGAGAGACATGGCCTTCTAATAAGGTCCTCAAAGTGTCTGTTCGGATGTGGCTTTATACAGAGAGTGGCGTTCTAATATAGGGTGGCCGTCTATTTTTTTTGGGGGGGGAGGATTACTTACAAGGGAAAAGATACCCAGTGTTGAGTATTTTTTGAGAAAGGAGAACACTCTTGGCTCATCCTTTATTTCTGGTTACAATATTGTTTCTGTTTTTATAAGAAGTTTATTAATTATGTATAATCATAAGAACATATATGAGAGCATTTATAAACTCAATTTCTTTTATTTCTAGATGGAAAATGAAATAAAAAAAAATAAAAATATTGATAATGAAGAACATTATCAAACATACGAACATCCATCATCTTGTCCTGCTGGAGCCGATTGTCAAGATACAAGTGAAGATCATGAGAATGCATATCGTCATTTACCTTTATGTGAACAATTTCAACAATGTTTGAAATATCGACAACATAACAAAAATCATTGTGAACAATTTCGTCATTGTCATCGTTTTTGTGAGTTGGCCAATTCTTGTGTCAATTTTCATGATAAAAAACATATTGAAAATTACAAACATCCCTTTCCACTTCCGTGCTCTCTTACACCCTATCATTGTGCATTGCATGAAGAATTTAAAATGGCAACGGATAAGCACTCACTCTTAGATGAAATTCAACGCCATTGTCTGAATTTTGCTCATGTCTGTGAATTTGGACAAGATTGTACTGAGAAAGATCCTTCACATTGGGAAGAATCGATTCATATTCGTCGACCTCTTTGTCCATTTGGTGATCAATGTGCAAAGCTTATTCAAGAAGATCATTTGAATTCATTTACACATCCAAATATTCGTGATATTCGTTTTAGATGTCCGGATGCCGATAAATGCCGCGATCGACGAGATCTTCAACATTTGGCTGAATTTCGACATCAAATCACATCTGAAAATAGTGGCGTTGTTCGTTATTATAATTTAAATAAAGATATTAATTTCGTTCAGAATCACCACGACAACATAAAACGTGTTCAAAACTATGTCAAGAAACAAAAATGGGAAGCATTGAAATCAGATTCGATTCTCAAAGATATTATCAATTGGATACGAACTGTTCAACCTGTTCATCGATGTAGAGCAGAAATATTCGAATCCATACTTCTTCATGGACATGTGATGAGTCGAAATTATATGGAAAATTTAAAAAAACCACAATGTGTTATCGATTCAGTTCTTCAACATAATCGACTACAACAAATCAGATATTTTACAGAAACGGAATTTGCAAAACGGATCAAAGAATATGTCACTGCTTTAGTTGAAGAAGAATTCGAAAGAAAACGAGCTGAAAATAAAAACTTAGTTAACAGTACAATAGCAAATTCGGCATCTCGAATGGAGTTGATTCAAGAAAAAGAAAAGTTTCTTTTGCGAACTTTTTCTCGAGATGATTTAGAAGCAATCAAAAACACAGCTATTGAAATCGCACAAGCTTCTATCAAACTTCATTCCAATCCCGCTGGTCTTGGTTATCCACCAGATAAAGAACTAGGAACAGATAAGAATGTGTTCAGTATTCTCGGACCCAATTTAGGACATTATTACGGCGATATATGTATTGTTTTCAAACGAGAAATTCTTCATCATCCCGATGCGAACTTTTCCATTCAAGCAGCAACATCATATGTTAGTGGTAGATCTTTTAAATGGCGTCCATGGTTAGGTGATGATCCAGGTGCGAAAGATAAACGGATCGAATTATTTCACAAGACGAAATTACATGCATCAATCAAAGGCTATGAATATGCAACTGCTCTGGAATTAATTGCCGTAACTGGTCAAACATTAAAAAAGAAATCAATGAATATCAATTTAACAACAATTCTTCAGCGTTGGGTTGATGTCGATTCGCATATGAACATCGAGTGCCATTTACCTCAACTGATTCCTCTTGATTATATCGATCATATTTATATGTCACAGAATGCATTCGATTCGTTGAATCCTAATGCACAGCACGCTATTGATACTATTTTCCAAAATCGTATTACTAAAACTCCGCATGAAATTGAACTGACTCAACCTGCATTAAAACACGGTCCAAAACCTGAATCGAAAGCTCGAACCGACTATCAAGATTTTGTTGTCAAGAAATTAATTGACAAATTCCGTCACCGTGGTGTTAATTCACTGAACGGACCTATTCGAGGTATTTTCATAACTATACCACCAACTGAATTTACTGATCATTTCGTTTTACCTCTGACTATTTCACAAGCATATCAGCAATATAAAACCAATCATTCACAAGTACCGATTGATATACCGGTTTATATTTATTGGCAAGTTCTTCATGGAGATATGATGTTAACATTATCAAATGAACAGATCGATACAGGAGAATCACAACCAAATTTGCGTTGTTTGACCTGTTATGTTGCTAAACAGCCTACTATAAAAGGTACTGACTATCATGAAAATGTATCATATTTACACATCGGTGGACCTGGTGCACCTTTTGAACATGGAATTGTTCTCAAAGAACATCGATATTCAGCAGCATCAAATGCATTCTATGTCGGCTGTAATACAGATAATTTGATGACGTTTTCTCTCGAAATTCAGCGTTCAACAGGAACAGCTATTTTATCTCATTCAGGTCCAAATTTAATATATAATCGTAAAAAAATTTCATACACATTTGAAAAATCTAATCTTGATCTAAACCAATTAAATTTCATTCATGCCAGTGCTGGAGCTTGTAAGGTACCCATTCGAAATTTGTTCGTCACTTTCAAGAAAGAACCAGAGCCTTTCGATGACGCTGTTGATACTGCTCAACCAACAGTATCATCAACAGCGAACCAAAGACCAGGTAAACCTATTTATATTTATAGCTCTTATGACAGTTTCAGATTGCTTAGAAAATATTTATTAACTTCCATTCTTTTAGAGAGTAAGGATGAGAAATCATAGTCTGTCGCTGTGACTCACAACAACGATAAGAACCGTTTTTAGGGATTTACTTGAAGGAAAACGATCCTGTTGCAGTCTTGAGGAGAGACGTGCATTACATCGCATGTTCAGATCACTTTCTCATGTAGATGTTTAGGCATGAAATAGTAACTGACTCATCTAAGTCTTCTCCATCAAGTTAGTAGTACGATGACGATAACAAAAATTGTTTCAGGCACATAGCTAGCACGAAAAATTTCCTTTATCGTTAATGAGAAACTATAATTTCTTTCTTAATGACTCCTACCTGTCCTAGAAGGAAGCCAATCAACAATTTCAAAGATATTGAATATAATTGACCGAAATCCATTAATTAAATGGCCATCCATATGCATATCTAGCTATATAATATTATGCACCATTTTGATGATGTTAGCAAAACAATTGAATATCAATGACAGAATTGATTCTAGTTCAAATACTTCTACCACAGATATGGAAACAGTGATCAATTTTCTTTCTATACCGATTCTAACTTTCGAGCCATATATAATGTTTTCATTGAATATTTTCATACTTGTATTTCGATTCAATTGGATTCTTATCCTAATTATTACACATGAAACTTTATTATATTACGAATACTTGTCAAATTATACTAGACATTATCAACTTCTAAAACAAAACTTTCAAGATTGGTGTAAAAATAATTACTTTAAATACGGAATTTTAATATTTTCAATTCTACTAAGTCCATTTCTGCTGGACACGTTTGTATGTTATATTTTATATATCTTACGCACGAAACTTTATTTTATCTGGAATCCGGTAGTATTTATTATTCGATACAATTGGCTCGTTTTAGCTTTTCTTCTAGACAAAATGCTAGTTAATCATGGATATTTCCCCAATTTAGGTCGAGAATATCAAAGAATGAAAAGAGATATTGATCATTATCTTTCAGAAAAGTTTATGTCACAATACACACAAATCAAGCAACAATTACGTCATCAGCATCAGAAAAATACGCTACAAAGTCGACTTCTTATTCTTTCAATGTTAATTGGTCCACTAGTATTTGAAATATTGTTTCTAAATATTACAACAATATTCAAATTAGTTTTCTTTTGTACATGGAAACTATCCTTTTTCATTATACGTTATTGTTGGGTTGTTCACATTATGATGATCAGTGAATTTATATTGATTAAACATAATTATTTTCCAGAGTATACTAGACTATATAAGTCTATAGTAAATAACATAAATGATTGGAAAGAAAATGATCAATTGAAATTTGCAATTGCTCTGATTTCTATATTGTGTGGTCAATTTTCATTAGAAATGTGTTTCATATGCTTTCCAACAATAATCAAACTAATTATTTTTTTCATATGGAAATTGTTTCTGTTCTTAATTCGTTATTGTTGGATTTTATTGATAATGGCTATCAGTGAAATTTTAGAAGAAAGTAATCTATTACCGAATTATATCGAACAATATAAATCAATTAAAACAGAACTAACAAAATGGAGTAAGGATAGTAAATTAAAAAAGGGCATAATCCCTGTTTCATGCTTAACTGGTCCATTTCTATTAGAACAATGTTTCGTTTTGCTTTTCTTAATAATGAAACTACTTTTTTTTCTCTCAAACCTATTATTGTCATTGATATTATATTATTTTTGGTTTGCCTTACTAATTATTCTCAGTGAAACATTAAAGAAAAACAAAATATTACCAGGTTATACTCAAAGATATAAATTGATTAATAGATCAATCCGTCGTTGGATTGGCAATAATAACGTGAAACGCGGTTTAGTTATTATTACGATCTTCATGATATCTGCCATATTAGATCAGTGTCCGATAGGATCTACATCGATAAACGCATTATTTCTATTTTGCATAAGAAGAGTATTTCTATTTCTATTTCGTTATTGTTGGATGCTAATACTGATAATCGTTAGTGTATTTTTAGCAAACAATGATAAGTTCCAGAGTTATAGTGAAAAATGGAAATTATTTAGAACAAGAGTGAATCATTCGGCAGGAAATAGTGATCTAAAAGCTGGAGTACTTCTTTTTTCTACCTTAGCTGGCCCATTCATATTGGAACAATGCTTTGTTCGGTTTGTACCGATAATGAAATGGCTTATTTTTCTCATCTGGATATTAATTTTATTTTTAATTCGTTATTGCTGGATTATAATCATACTATTCATTAGTGAAATTTTAGAAGAAATGGAAGTATTTCCAATTTATATTGAAAAATATAAAGAAGCCAAAACGCAAATCCAATGTTGGTATGAAAATAATGAATTGAAAAAGTTGTTAATCATATTTTTAGTTATTATGGGTCCATTTCTATTAGAAATATCTCTCTTTTATGTTTTAAAGACAATAATAGTGATGATTATTTTATTTATAAAAAAATCCTTCTTTTATTTAGCAAATGTGTTTGTTTTTTATCGTCTATTTCGGCTGATTCATCAGTGATTGATGGAATTAATGTCTCATCAAATATTCAATCAGTTTTAGATATTAATCAGCTTTCTATCTATGAATAGAACATTTTTCCCAACGTATGATCATCGATTTTATATTTCCATCTGTCACATTGCATTTCTCTTTCATTTTCGAAATAAATAGATTTAAATATACATAAAAGAAAAACAACTTCAATCTATAAGAATACAGAAAAATATGATCTTACGAAGTGAATATAATAATCAAGAAAATTACGATGCGTTTCATTTTTTCTTCTTTCGTAAAAAACGATCTGAAACCGAGTGTTAAGTCATAAGAGCAGAAATTTGAACTCATCGCATGCTGTTCGCTCTCAAAGACCATTACCAACAGCGTAACAAATCGTTCTCGACAATGGATAAAGGTATCACAATAGCACTCAGAATGTAATATCATTTAGAAACTGATCCGATTATCATGCAATATTGATCTGTTATCAAAACCAATCAACAAACTTTTAACTATGATCGGAAGTGTATTTCTTTCTTATGAAAGTCTTTAGTAAAAATCTATTGATTCTATTTATTTTCCACTTCTTGTTAAATCATTGTCTACCACCACTGACACATGCCTGTTTTTGTTAGGATGCGTACAATTTTAAACAAAACCGTTTTTCATTAAAAAAATCTTGAGGCAGATCCACGACGCGTTTCGTCCTTGCTTAAGGGACTCTTCAGGTGGCTTAGATAGAAGTCTCGACTCGAAATCTCACGAAGAAATCTCAAGACAATGACAGAATTCTACAAGATGTGCAAAGCGACTGCACAAATAGAAGCGGAGCGAAGAAAGGATCTTCTACAGTAACTAGAAGCAGATCCACGACGCGTTTCGTCCTTGCTTAAGGGACTCTTCAGGTGGCTGAGGGTGAGGGTGAGTTCTCAAGTCAAGCGATTCCAAAGCATCACACGACGCGTTTCGATCAGGGCTTAATCTGATCATCATCAGGCATGTTCAGGAATCAATTCTACATGGTAGCTAGAGGAAAGACTCAACAAAATCATAAAGAAATCGATTCTAGAAGGGTCAATCAGAGAAAGACACTCCCCAAATCGAAATTCAAAACGATTTCATGGTTCCATCATAGCTGTATGTCGTAGATCATCACTTGTAGAGGGTGAGTTCTCAAGTCAAGCGATTCCAAAGCACCATACGACGCGTTTCGATCAGGGCTTAATCTGATCATCATTAGGCATGTTGAGGAAGCATTTTTTTGAAGATGTGAAGAAAGAATGGTGTTTGTTTTAGAGATCGGGCACAGAAAATTAGTCTGCTTTGAATCGGTGACGGTAGACATCTAATGTTTAGTGGAAGCTGTGTATATGATTCTTGATCGATTAGCGGGTGTTGTGGTCAGGTTTTGGTTATGTGATTGATTGTCGAAAGTGTTTGTTTGTAATGTGATGATATTTTTTTTTTCCGGTCGAAGAGTACTGGGAAGAACCAGTGTTCGCGGTTAGACTGGTGGAAGATCTTTTTTTTGCTTTTCTCTCAATGCTTCTTGGATGGAGCATATGTGTTCACACGACGTGTTCGAGGGCTTAGAATCGAATGAGTGCAGTGGAGAAGTAGGTTTTTATTCCAGAAACAGAAACTGAGATATCACATGTCATATGTTGTGGGTTGGTTGTTCTATATCGATGTCTAAGACATGTTGGCATTGATCGCTAATGTATAGCGTCCAATGAATCACGTGATGAAAAGGAAATCGTGCACGTAAGTTGCCCAGCATCATTGCTACTTCGTGCGAAAACTGTGCATGAAAGGCGCGTTGATCATCTTCGACATGTTTCGGCAACGACACAGTGCTTTCGACAGTTGTATTGGTTTCCTCATCAATGGAGGACCAGATGTATTCGTGGGATTTGTCATTGATGGCTGTTGCTGCTGCCGAGTTCTTTGAAAAGGAGAAGAGTTTACTCATATCCGATGCAGTATGTCGAGTTAGGTTTACTGGATCAACTTGACTTCGAACAGAAGAGGAAATCGATGACGATTGCACGACAGCGCTGTAACTTGGACGTTGCATCGTTTCAATTGGTTTCAGAAGAATCTGAAAGGGAAAGTAGTGACATCCACTTGTGAGCAGCACATCTGAACGTCCTGGGTCCGATCTTTTCTTTCGATGGAGTACAAAACTATCAATAACCTTTCCCATCATGGTAAGGACCGTCGAAGAAAAGTCACATCAACTATACGGCTCTATTTCTTTCTGATACAGAGGATAGTCACGTAGACCATGGAGATGCTGAGTACATAGGACTCGATCAGTACTGCGATACAAATGCAAACAATACGATCATGAATGTTTTTTACGAAAAGGGTATCAGTTGAAAGAACCAGCTATTGCACAAAAAGAATCAAGCAAGCCTCGCGAATAGATGTTGCCAATGAAGAACTATTCAGTTGAATCCATGGCCGTTAAGATATGTTTCGGAGGCTTCTTCTTGATCACAAATTGTTCCAAAGTTCGATTAGTGCTAGCAGTCAAGCTG